AAGGTACCTGGACTTTGTTTTTCCTTGAAAGTGTTTCACTTCTCATCCAAGAAGCTTCTTCAGGTCTGAAAAAAACACCTTTGGGACAACCATGACCTGGATGACTGAGAATCTCCATAGACATACTTCTTCAGTAGGTTCCAATGTAAAGCAATAGAGCCTGCCCAGATCAGAGAACCAGAAAGTGGCCATGATAGGACAACTTTAGTAAGGTAGGAATGGATAGGCAAGTGGAGAAGAGGTAGATGATGGCCATATTGAACATAGCGAAGGGCTCAGCCTGCTTCCTTTCTAAAACAAGGAGATTGGTAGACTTACGTACAACTTCCTTCCTTTCATCTCACTTTGGAGGAAGTCAAATTAGAGCAATAGTCTTTAATGGCTAATTATTAGCTGTTCGTTAAGCTGAATTATTGTAATCAATTTTTATAAAAGGCCTTTTATGAATGATTGTCCCCAATAGAGGGGTTTGTTCCAAAAATACTGAAAAGGAGAGTGTGATGATGAAAAAAAAAACAGGCAGAACAAGTTAGGAGTTGGAAAACTCTAGCATCCATACATCAAGTATTGCATTTTAGGTTTTCCTCTGCATTTTTATGGAATAACTTTTTTTCCTTGATCCTTTGCGTACAATTCTCAGATCTAAAAGCAATATGAAATACATTATCTGAGCCCTTCTCGCCCTCCCTCCCGGTAGCTATGAACAAGCCACTTTTAAGTCCAAACTGTTTGGTTTGATAAGAATACGCTTTACTTACAAAATTGAGAAATGGGGGCATCTAGCTGGGGCGCATTTCCTCCTTTAGCATTAAGCTTCTGAACTTGAGTAGGTGGAACAGGTTTGTGGGACTGGCCGGTAGCTCGGTACATGGCTTGGACCCAGAGGATACGATCCTGCTCATCGTCGCTGGCAAAAATCACCGTGTCTCCTTCTTTCACTGCATTGAAAAATGTTCGGCCGCCCTCCAAACCTGAGAAATATCAGAAAGCACTCGTTTAGTTTTTCTAGCATTTGACATTCAGGGTCATGGATCCTCCCAAAACAAAAGACGGCGTTATGGTTGCTTAAGGACACCTTTGCATTTTT